TGATGAGCAGTCTTGATCTTCACTTCTTTATATCAAAAGCGTAATCCTCTGTTATTTACATTGGTCTCCCAGTGGGTCAGCAGTCACTTTACTGACTTACAATGCTAAAATCCGGGTTTCGATTCCCTGTGGTGTACAGAGTACAGGTAATCAATTATGTGGCTTTTGTTATGTATTAGAATTTCAAAGAGCCTGAAATTGAGTTAACTGATAAATTTAAATTTAGTAGTTAAATTGTAATTCGGATTTAGTAGTTAAGTGAAAGCCGATATATAGTCAGTTTATTATATTTGCCAACAAGACTGATACCCAGTTTTCTTTTCTTAACACAAATACATTTGAATATACACACAACAAAACAATGTACAATAACAGTTATTATAAACAATGATTTATAAACAAAAGTTTCACAAACTTACAAACAATATAAAGTATTCTTTCTAATCTGGAACGTTCTTGATATCGTATCGAGAGTTCACGATGAGCGAGCTAATTGCGAGTTGATGTAGGTACGATTCGCTTGACGGGAAGCTAGCTAGCTTTGTCCTTCGTTATTCACCAGTCGCGCGTGCTGAGACTTCCGCGATGAATTTATATAACGTTTTCGTAAAAATACTAATGTCCGTTGAGAATCCACTGACGTTAAATGATTTGTAGTGTTCGAACTTTGTAAATGCTCCTGGTCAAATATCTGAAGTTTTCCGATTGGTAAGCGTTATAACAATCACAGTTATAGCTTTCGAAGTTTATAGCACACTGACTATAGCAAACTAATAATAGATACTCTTTTTTTTTGGCGCGTCGTGTTGGTTATATTTATAGGCGTGTAGATGTTTCTAGAAATTTAAGTTTTGCGTAACAATACTGGCGCTAACACGAATATTTATGTACACACATATATATTGTTGATTCTTACTGGCCCGGCATGGCCAGGTGGTTAGGGCGCTCAACTCGCAATCCGAGAGTCGTGGGTTCGAATCCCCGTCACACCAAACATGCTCGCCCTTTCAGCCGTGGGGGCGTTATAATGTGACGGTCAATCCCACTATTCGTTGGTAAAAGAGTAGCCCAAGAGTTGGCGGTGGGTGGTGATGACTAGCTGCCTTCCCTCTAGTCTTACACTGCTAAATTAGGGACGGCTAGCGCAGATAGCCCTCGTGTAGCTTTGCGCGAAATTCAAAAACAAACAAACAATTATACTGATTCTTACTCTCGAGAATCTTCTACAACTTTGGAGAATAGGCGAGAGTTTCGCAATACATATTTAACCATATAAGCTATGTATGTTTCTAAATATAAACTTAATCTAAACAAACAATGATATAAAATAAATAAATAATAGCAAATTCTTTACACTTTACACTATAAAAAAGAAGCTTGTTTACATTGGATACTTGGTGTAAAAAATGATAAATAAATATCTAAGGTAAAAATAAAAAACATATATCAATAAATAATTAAATAACAAAAACAGCATTAGGTTGTTTCTGATTGGTGCCTTCATTTAGCTGATGGTTCGAAATTAGGGTGGTGTCTCGCAACCCTGACAAAGGTCATACCACAGGACGCTTATAATTGGGGATAGGAATACCTGTGCTTATGTAACCATAACCACAATTGATATATTATTTGGTCTAGTATTGCTGTAACATTGTTATTTCTTTGTAGGTTCTTTGAAATTATCTGGTGAAAATCATTCAACGTTCAGTCTACGTATTTAGTCGAAATTAATTTATTTCCCCCTTTAAATATTTTTAAAATATTAAACCACTTTTTAACTGTTGTAAATTGTTTAGACGTATGTTTACAAATGACAGTATATCTCTTTAATATCAGTACTAGGACTAACACACTGTTACGTCTCTGTGCTTGTTTGTTAATTTTCCCTAGAAATTCTTTCCGATAAACTTCAGCGATACAAGTCCTTTCTTAAATAAAACTAGTTTATTCTTTCTCAGCTCAACTTTGCAATACACTTAATTTCCACAGTCACTTTAACTTAAACACACGCTAGAATTCACAACGATTCACGCAATTTACTTCGGGTTGACTCGATTGTCTGTCTGAAATTCTATCCTCGCCGTCACTTTATTTGCCGGCTTATATACTCTAAGAGCGTACATCCAGATTACCTTCGTCTCTATGTGAATCTTCTAGATAGTCATCACGTGTTATTAGGGTCACGTGACTTCCGCTGTCGTAACACTATTATTTTTATCAGATATCCAGAAGAACCCACCTACCGATAGAATACGTTACAAATACATTTTCAAGGATATATTTTACCAACCAAAAGTGTTAAACTTTGCTTTTTTTCTCTAGTCTACTGGGTGGATAGTAAAAGTATATCTTTAAATATTACATTGATCCCTAAAAGAAAAGCGCATAGTTTGAATGACAAATAGTAAATATTTAATAAAAATTTACACTTGCATATATAAAAGAGAGCAGTATTGAGCTGTTCAAAGTAGTAGCCCACAATGGTTTAGTGGTAAGTGTGAAACTTATAACGCTAAAAACCGGGTTTTGCAACCTGTGGTGGGCACAATATCCTATTGTGTATCCTTGTGCTTAACAATAAACAAAGTAGTACATCTCTCTGTGCCTTTTACGATATACCATTACATGTATTCTATATCGCTCAAGACTTTAAAAATTCAAAAAGTAAATAAATACTCAGTGACAACTGAAAAGCAGTATTGTTCAGGCCAGACGTTTTTTTAGTGGTAGGTTATAATAGTGCACAAACTGTTGCTATGTTAAATTTTATAAAATTCAGAAACATTTAACACCCAGTCTGCGAGTCAATGAGGGTTGGCTAAATAGGGGTGTCACGGTTTCTGGTATTCAAATTAGAATGTACGCTGATAAAGGGCTCAAACTTTAAACCTAAAAACAACAACAGCAATTTACTGCCAAAATAACTCACTTCTCAATAAAGTTCGGCCTCGACGATACAGAGTTTAGGGGATTAGCCAAACTATATTCTTCTTGCACAAAAATAGTAGAAGGGTTCATGCTCAGGGCAGGTACCTCACTTAGCCACCTTACAGTGGATAGTAAGTTTTGTTGAGTTTCTCAGCCATCTCTATCAACAGAAATTCCGAAAACGGCTTTATAGAGCTGAATAACCAGATCTCGTATTCCCCAACATGTACAGTCACTGTGTGGGATTTTGGATTGGAGTAATGGGAAAACATTGTAAATTCAACCATACAGACGAGCTATTCAGGTTCCAAATATTGCATGCTACTATTTAGAAATTTAAAAAAGACGGTACTAGAAAGGTTCTTTTAGGAATCAACCCACTAAACAAGTCTCTGCAGACAGGGTGTTAAACAAGTGTTAAAAGTGGCAAAGATACCAACTAACGGTATTACCCTCTCTTCAGTTTTACAAGGGTAGTACAATCTGTTAACTCTTTTCATTAATTTTTCCCATCATAATGATTTTTGTATGAGCACGATACTACGTTCAAAGAGTCGATAAATCTGTGTTGTTTGCGTGTTTTATTAATAAAGTTCTTTTAATTTGGAGAGTTTTCACCACTACTTTATATTCCATTCTGCATTTTGTTATTTCCTCGCCTACGTAATCATTTTATCATTATAAGTATTATCTATGTACATAATTCATACACGAAGGCAACCGCACTATGTAAAAATGGAAACAATAAAATATTTATTCATTTATTAGCAACCTTTAGAAACAATACTGTGTAGTGTGTATATTGTTACGAAAGCGGAAGTCACGTGACGCTAGTAACACGTCATGAACTTCTAGAACGTTCACGTCCCTTCCTGAAGTTTCGAGAGGCTACTAGATATGCGGTAGTATTGTATATATATATAAGCCGCCAAGAATTGCCGGCAACAATGTGTAATTGAACTGCGGACAGAGAAAGACATATTGTTGAGTCGAGCACGTGAGACGTTCGTTGTGAATTATAGCGTTTGTTATAGC